GACACACACTGAAGACTTACACATTCCTGTATAACCCACAGCACACATGCAGACACACACTGAAGCCTTACACTCTCTCTCCTGTATAACCCACAGCATGCAGACACACACTGAAGACTTACACACTCCTGTATAACCCACAGTGCTCACACACACACCTGAATAATCCACAGTGTATACACACGGTTCAAGTTAGAAAAATGCTGCTGTACTGCATATAACACTGACAGTACGTTATAAACAGAATCACGTATAGTATTTCACACTGCCACTCAAGACACACTGGCAGCAACACAGACCTCAGACGTCTTCAGTAAAAACTTCATTGCTATTGCCACACTGAAACGAAATAATTTGGATTTTCAGTTTATAAATAACGTTTGTATTTAAAGACAAAAACCTTTTCCCAGTTTTAATTTTTTTCAGATTACAGTGCACCAGTAAGCAATTAATTTAATTTGTGTCTAACAGGATACTGGGTTCTGTCTGATATTGGTGGTTCAGACAGTAACTCTTCATGTGTATCTTTGTTTCCAGGATGGAATGATGTGGGTGTGCAAGAACATAGCTCCGAAGAAGAAATGAATGCAGACAGAAAAGAGCAAAACCATTCTTGTAACTGTTTACTGTATATTATTTAACTTATAAATGAGATAAACAAGCTATAATATAGTATTTATTTTTCATAAATAAACTGAAAACCTCAAGTCTCATTATCACAGAGGTGTTCATTTGATTTTCTCATTTTTTTACACTGTTGTGATGTGAAGTTATGTGATGACAGTTCTAGGCACATTTCCTTTTATTGTATGAGGGCTGCAGAAGAGCCTTTCAGATTTATGAGCAGGGTGGCCATAAGCCTCTCTGTTTTCTAAGACGGGACAGAATTTTAGGCCCTAAATGGGATAAATAGATGTGCAAATTTAGAGTTACACCTTTGCTTACATTAATACTGGAGCTAAACAACCATCCACAATAAACGTATTGGACTTATTCGGTGTTCACTATTCTAGTCATCGATCAGTGTGAACTACTGATCAGTATTACTGATTTGTGCAAGAGAACCATTGCAAATTCTTAACAATGTTAATAATTTAATGGAAAATGTATTTGGTACTATATCTGTGTATTGTAATTAAGTAACAGTGCTTACATTAGCAAAGACATGATGCTTTATTTTAATACCTAGTGCAGTTCCACTTAGGAGCAACTTGTCATCCCTTTCCTAAAGTTACCCAAATAACAGAGTCAAGTGGTTGCCTTATTGATGGGTGGAGGTGAGTTCACAGTTCTAGCCAGTTCTCTAATATTCATCACATGCTCGTGAAAGAAACTAGAGGCAGTTGTATTGGTCTAAAACTTATTTTGTTGTTAAGTGTCCAGAAAAATACATTTGTCAGTTTACCCAGACCATGCATAGACCCTTATGAATTTTGCCATTTATACCTGCAAGGCTTTCAGAATTCCACAAGGGGGCGCAGAAACTCCACTTCAACGGCATGTATCAAGTGCTACAATACTGTCAGTTCAGAAGTCTGGTCAAATCTTAATTAAGACAGAATAACAAATATGAATTAAATTGATTTATTGGTGAACCCCCACCCCCTCATCCATTTTTACAAGGGGCACGCCAGGGAGCTGTTGTATGGGCAATGTAGAGTGCCTTCCAGGCAGGTTCCAGGAAGAACTGAGGATACTATACATATACAGTATAGCCCCAGAGACAGGATGGAGTTAGGCTTGTTTGGAAGGTGTTTGCTGTGATATCATTTCATTATTTTAAAAAACACTTTTTTCTGAGAAGCTCAAAAGGCATTTGCAGTATACACTTTGGGTCACATGGTGCTTCCCAGTCTGGGACCGCTAAGTGATTGCTTACCCCCTGCAATATTGCAATTAAATGTTAGATGGATGGCTAGATGGACAGATGGGGAATGTTTTTAAATCCTTCTCGGAGCACCTCGATATACAGTACATCACCTGAGCAGAACACTGTAGAAGTGTGTCTTGTGTCTTCATAGTTAAAAATGAGAGTATAGACTGGGAACACCATAACATTCTCCCACTTTCTGTGTCACTTATGTTCTTCGTAGCATGAAGTGAAACTCAGTAAACCCCCAAGGATACCTTATTTGAGAAACATCCAAGTTAATTGGCTCAGAGTGTTTAATAAATAAAATGTTTATATCTTTATATTTTAAGTAAGCATTCTCTGGGCCTGTCAGTGGCCAGTTTATTCTCCTCTGCCTCTGTAGTCCCAAATACTGTACACACACACTGCAGCAGTGCTTCACCCCACAGTTGTCCATCTGTCCACTTTCTTACTGCTTTATCCAATACAGGGTCACAGAGGAGCCAGAGGCCATCCCAGCAAGCAACAGGCACAAGGCAGGACACACCCTGGACGAGACGCCAGTCCATCACAGGGCACACACGGACACACACACGCACACACTCACACCAGGGCCAATACTCCCAGAAGCCAATTAACCCATCGGTATGTCTCAGGACTGTGAGAGGCAAGCAGAGCACCCAGAGAAAACGCCATGCAAGCACAGGGAGAACATACAGACTCCACACAGATAGCACCTCAGGTCTGGAATTGAACCCCAGGGCCCCAGCACTGTGCCATTGTGCTACATCCCTGCAGTCTCCATCTGAAATTCTAACACTTGTCTGTGATCTTGTGGTTTAATACACAGTGTGTAGTTTTCTAAATCTTTAGTTTAGCATCATAGTCTACATGTCATCTTGAGTCCGTCTGAGCTCTGAATTTGTATTGATTTAACAGATTATCACTGTGCTGAACTACGATGACCTAGGCTTCAGTTTACACACGCTGAGTCACCATGGGACAATGCGGATTTTACCAGGCTGTTGCTATAGTTCCTAGTTCTCTGCTCCACTGTGGCCTGGTTGCCATTGCGTTAACCTACTCCTCCGGCTGAGGATTGTGTGCAGAAGCAGGGCTCCTCGCCCCGGGGGTGTCCTTCACCATGATGTGGGTATGCTATAAGCACAGCACAGCTGATATTTACCCTGCTCTGCACAGCTGCTCTCGTCTCTGCCTTGCAGCCCTGCTCTTGTGGCAGCAGGGGAAGTAGGCGGATGGGGTCCTGTTTGTGTGTTTGTGCTGCTGTCATCCTGATCACAGAGGGAGTGCGGGGGGGCTATTAGCTCTCACTTCCTTTGCAATGCAATCTGCTTCGGTATCACTCACCCTGTCCTCCCTTTCTCTATCCTTTCCCCCTTCCTAACCCACGCTGGCAGGCTACAAATACCAGAAGCGCCCTGAGAAACTGCTTCACAATGGGATCCCACAAAGGAACAGGAGAATTTGGGTTCACAGCGCAGTGCAAAGCAATGCAGACATTCAAGCTTCTGTGGGTGCTGCACAGATGCTTTCTTTAAGATGGATACTAGCACCCCATCTTGATCTCCTTTTTAAAAAAGGAGGAGGGGAGTAGTCCAGATTGGCTGATCTTAAACAATTTTTTGTGCCAGGATATTAGAGACCCTGGATTCTGTGAGCACATGATCAACCATCCATTCATTTTCTAGTCACTCTGTCCTATACAGGGTCACAGGGGTCACAGTCTAACCCAACAAGCAATGGGAGTAAGGCAGGGTACACCCTGGACAGGACACCAGTCCATCTCAGGGCAAACAGACACACCAGGGCCAATTTTACTGCAGCCCATTACCCTACCAGTGGGTTTTTGGACTTTGGGAGGAAACGAGAGCACCCAGACGAAACTAACATGAACATAGGGAGAACATACAAACTCCATGCATATAGCACCCCAGGTTCAGAGTTGAACCCAGATCCCCAGGGCTGCAGGGCAGTAATGTTAACCACTGCACCATCATGCCACCCCACTTTTAGCCAAAGAGACTTATATATTTACTTGTTGCTAAAGATGGATATTTTACTAGAACAATTCAGGTTACTTACATGAACAATGATTACAGAGTTGTCATATATAAGAATTATCAGAACAATCACATACATTAATTGTTTGTGAGCACAGCCTGTCCTCTCTGGGCAGCCAGGTCTACCTGTGTCACTCTTCCTATTTCTTGTCATCAGGTCTGGTTCTCCTTCTTATCTTTCACTCTGGTCAGAACGTCAGCCAGTGTGAATTTTATTCTCAGGACCCTGTTACATTCCAGTTTGTGTGTGTGTCCCAGTAGGTGAGTTCAGGCCGTTTGGCTTTGACTGTGATCTGTGCTGCTGAAGCAGTTCTGTCCCGAGGCTGGCTGGTGTCGGTGTGACACAGGGCAGTGAGCTTCAGATATCAGTGGGCAAAGATTTAAACTGCATCCTTAACCCTCTCCTGCCCAGATACTCTCAGTTGACCAGAACCCTAATGATTTTCTGGACTGGTTATCCCGTCAATGGATTACCATGCTTCAAAGCACAATTTTTTTAGTACCATGTACTTGTTTTATAGGTTTTAAACGTTTGTACAAGAGGAACTTGTCAGTGGAATGATCTGCATTAAACTCCGTTACCACAGTCTGCCAAGCCCCTGAAGTCTGGAGAGGCAGCCAGCCCTGAACTAGGCCATAAATCACTGGACTTTCCCAGCCTTTCACCCCAGCCCACAGCCCTCCCACACCAGTGAAACCCAGGAGAGAGAGTGAACACCTAGGACTTAATTAAGTCACTACGTCTATTTCACACGTTCAATCCTCCCATCCCCACCACAGGCTTTCCTGGATGGCTTATCTCTCAATTAGAGCCCGGAGTATAACCTCTACTATCACAGCCCAGTATTTCCTCATCAATACCTGACTGTCCCAGCAGCTTGTAATCACAGCAGGAAACCCCCTCTACAGCCCTGTGCCTTGGATTACTAGTCCTCGTCACCCACCAAGTCTTTTCTCCCCACTCTCAAGAAGCATTGACCCTGTGCCTGTGCAATGGGGAACAACGGCTATATCTATCCATAGCAGATAAACCACAGGCAGCAGACGCTCTCTCTCGACACAGAGTAGGAATTGCACACACTCACACTATAATTGCATGCTTTAGAAAATGAACTGTACACATTCTCAGCCTCAATGGAAAACACTTGGCCAAACCATTGAAACTGACTGCTACTAGTTTCCTATAGCACTGCCACACTCACAGTACAAGATCAGCTGTCTGCAGCAGCATCTGCGTCAGGCCCCACGATATCAAGTATGGCAGTGCTTGTCTCTGATCCGTTTTGTGTTCAATGGTTTGCCATGGTTGAATTTAGATGCTAGAAAGTTGACCTTCCTTTTTCACACTGAGATCATACCACTTTCTGTTTACCTGTCTGTGCTACTGGAACATTAATGGCCTGGATAGCATACATGGTAGAAGGTCCAAACAAGTAGAATTGCATTTATTTCACTGTTGTACCGATATCATGTTTTAGCATTTGTATCAGTGGTTAAGAAAGACAAAACATATTCCACTCCTTCAGAACATGTGACTGAGTGAAGGAATGTCCCACACTGGCAAGCTGAAGTAATTAAACCCTTCTAGTCTTGAACAGAGAAGTGTTTTAGGGCACCTGTATCCAAAATCCTCAATGGCACTGACAAGCCTAATGCAACCTAGTTCTTCAGAACTAACAGTGAATCAGTAACCAGAAGACACAAGAGAAAACTAAATGAAAGTCTTAGTG